TTTATCACTGAGAAAGTGCAAGACAAAGATTAATGTAACTTTCAGAAATTTTTCGTAGGTTCATCGTACGTGCGTACGTCAACGTACGCACGTACGATGAACCTACGAATGAAAAAAATGTTGTGTATGTTTTTCTTTCGCATCAACTCGCTGAATTTGCACTTTCTCATATATTCCTTGAATTTTTCAATAGAAAGGAGGCGCCGCTGACCGGATACGACGGCAATCATGCATTCCGCTCCAGTCGCTCGGACAACAACAACTATAAGAATTGGAGCAGCACCACCACGACCGAGATTACGAACCCTCCTGTTGCTGCTACTGTTTGCTAGCAGTATGGAACTCAAACAGAAGCGCCAGAGCAGCGATCGATTAATGCAATCAGAAGCTATCCATCAAGCACCATTCCATTAGGGTCTCGCTATTTCCGAGGCTATAACCATAGCCCTGAACAAGTAGAAAAAGTATTTTATTTGAAGTAAACGTTGAAGTATATATTATATATGATATCTTTCATTATCTTTGATATCTTTTTTTTGTAAAATACAACGCCTTTTTTTACATGAAATTTTAATAATATATTTACCATTTATTGTTAATTTGTTTCCCAAGTGGAAATTTATTATACAGAAAAGCGATATTGAATCCTGGCGAAATACCGAATCTGTACTGAAAAATGAGTTTAAATATTTTAGTATACCAGTACCATAAAACTAATGATACGATACAGGCCCAATATATGAATCAGTATTGAATAACAATACAGATTCTGTACGCTGCCAGTAAATTTTCGATATTACGTCTATATTTAGATTGCCAAAACCAGTGGGTCAGTATCGAAACTGTATACCAGAATATTTGTAGCATCGAATGTATATTGTAGGAGAGACCGACGTCAGTTAACTGTAGGTAAGAATAATCGATGCTACGTTATAAACAAATCGCGTGAGACACGCATAAATGTGTCTGAACTCGCAGCGATTACTATCGCTCGATCTTCTGTGAGATCAGGAGGAGAAACGTTTTTGTCAGAAATTACTCGGATGACTTAAAAAAATTGTACTCGTTAGTGAATATTTTTATTCTTAACGTTTTTGTTCTACAATGTCGTATATAATTATCTGAAATATTTGATATCCATTTAGATAGTAATTGTAGTTCTTACTTAATAAAATCCAATAGATTTTCTTGTATATTTGTCTTGTTATCGTATAATGTTAATGTTTTTAAAAAATGAACGGATGGCGCTAGTAAGCTAATCACAACACGGGGCTACATGACTTATTTAGTGACGACTTTGACAGTACCTACTTTTAAACTTCTTGGAATGAAATCTCACTATAAAATAGTGAAAGTACAATCAGTTTGAAAAACAGTGAAAATGTTTCACTCCTTGATAAAGAATAATAATATTGTATTCCTCTAAAGAGATGTATCTCAGTGGTAAATATTATAAATTTGATTCCCTCACGCCCAATCTCGATAAGACTAGGTTCATTTGACGTGTTTTTGTTCGAAATAAACGAATTTAGCAGAAAGAAGCATTGTTCTGCCTTGCGAATTGAAATATTAATCGTTAAAGTTTATTCAGTTAAAAAACCTGTCATTCGCTATGCCTCAGTAAAAACGAAGAGTTTGATAGAGAATGATAAAAAAATCTTATCGTTTTGAATATGATTAAATTTGAATTTCACTAATTTGAGTTAGATCATATAGAATTCTTATACAAATCCTATAAAATCCGATAAAATATGATAGGATTTATATCCGATCAATCGTGATGCTGTCGCGAGGTCAACAATAGAAAATGATGCAAACAGAAAGATCTGTATAAGAAATCTTTGCTGCGTGCTTGATAGAAATCGAAACCCGCGGAATGGACGAGAGATGATGTCGATGTTACTTGGTATCCATTCAAAGCGCAATAAGGTATGTATATGAGAAAATCTCAATCCCAAGATATAATCATTACTTATATTATAGTGTATAATAATGTATAATAATGTATAGATCGTGCCGGAGACTGCATATCTTTATGATGCAGTGCATCTTTTACGAAAGATGACTACTACCCTTGATGAGAATCGCAACCCGAAATACTTCAGATGCGCCAAAAATAAATGCATCATTAATATTGAAAATGCCATTTTTCGCCAAAGACACTAGACATTCCAAAAATTCGGAAATTTCAAAACACGATGCGGCATCTTTACGAAAGATCACGCTACTGCGCACCCTTGATGAGAATCGCAATCCCTGGATCGGACGAGAGATGCAATTTCATTATCAATACAGTCGGCGCGTCACATACGCAAAATACCCCAGATGCATGAAAGAAATGCATCGTTAATAGCGAAAGTGCCATTTTTCAAAGATACTAGACACTCCAAAAATCCGGAAATTTCAAAACCACGATGCGGTGCATCTTTACGAAAGGTCACGCTACTGCGTACCCTTGATGAGAATCGCAATCCCTGGATCGGACGAGAGATGCAATTTCATTATCAATACAGTCGGCGCGTCACATACGCAAAATACCCCAGATGCATGAAAGAAATGCATCGTTAATAGCGAAAGTGCCATTTTTCAAAGATACTAGACACTCCAAAAATCCGGAAATTTCAAAACCACGATGCGGTGCATCTTTACGAAAGATCACGCTACTGCGTACCCTTGATGAGAATCGCACCCCTGGATCGGACGAGAGATGCAATTTATTTATCAATATAGTTGGCGCGTCACAAACGCCAAATACCCCAGATGCATAAAAAATGAATGCATCGTTAATAGCGAAAGTTTCAAAGACACTGGACATTCCAAAAATCCGGAAATTTCAAAAACACAGTGCGGTGTATCTTTACGAAAGATCACACTACTGCGTACCCTTGATGAGAATCGCAACCCCTGGATCGGACGAGAGATGCAATTTCATTATCAATATAGTCGGCGCGTCACAAACGCCAAATACCCCAGATGCATAAAAAATGAATGCATCATTAATAGCGAAAGTGCCATTTTTCGCCAAAGACACTGGACATTCCAAAAATCCGGAAATTTCAAAAACACGATGTGGTGCATCTTTATGAGAGATCACTGCGTGCAAAAAATCATGCACGGGATCAGATGTGGAACAGAAGAGAATAATGAGGACAATGAATACAGAGGATGTATCTTTATGTTTCTAATATAAATATTTTTAGTGTTAAAGAAGTGGTCGCTGCCACAATCGTTTCAGAGTTCTGAAGAGATAGAATGATTTGCATAAGCTGTTGCACTTCCTGAATAATTACTGAATAATCATCGGAAAATGACGGTAATGGATCAGAGATACATTGACATCTTCGATCATTATGGCATACGCATCATAAGCGAGTCTTGCACATTTATTGTGTCGATAAACTTGATTTACATTAGAATTTTACCACGATAAATTTTTATCACGTAATTGTAAAGCACGAAGGCTTACAAAACCTTTCAAAAGCTTTGTTAAGCTATTTAACTTTGACCCAATTTTTACATATACCTACGATTGTTTAACTCTATAAATATTCACAGATAATTCTCCATTTTTTTTTCTCCAAATTAAATGAGATATAAATCTTGTCGTTACATCTTTACGAAAGATCACTGCTGCCTTGATGAGAATCGCAACCCCCGGAACGGACGTGTGATGCAATTTCATTATCATCATAATCGGCGTGCCAAATATATCAAATACGTTAAATATTGAGAGACGATATCGAGACAAGATCGAGATTTTTCTCGTTTCATATGCATTTTTAACTGTCTGGAACTACTTTTAGCGCTAGCCAGGAATAAAGGCGTGGACGTAGTAGTTTTCTATTCCCTTTGGGGTGCTTGATTAATGTGAGTCCCCTTGCCTCTCACAATTTAGTTACTTAAAAAGATTGACATAGATTCTAATTGGATAGATAATTCAGAAATAAATTTTGTTGATCCACACAATTTATATTAGTTTCCTGCGTAATATTAATTAAATAGTATTTTATTCACATTTTATTTTATTTTATTTCAATAATTAATTAATATTACATTTATATTTTGTTTTTGTTTTTATCTTTTTATTTTGTTATTTTTGTTTTTATTTTAATTGTATTTCTTATATTTTTATAACTCATATTATATTTCTGATTATATTTCTTGATAATGCTTATTAATAATATTTAAGACTACTATATTATAATCCTATAGTATAAGTAGAGGAGAAGATGGTATTATGTTACCCCAATTACATTTTACACAATAACTTGATTAATAAGCAATATTTAAGTTTAAAACTAGTTAGTAAAAATAAGAAAAAAATAAGAAAAAAATGGTATGATCTTCCAGAAAAATAGCCTTAAAATATTAGTTTTGTTTAGAAAACAGTATTTGGTTACAAAATTAATAAAAAATAATAAATATTTAAATATATGCAAATGAATGTATATACATGAATGTATAACTTCTATATATAAGCAGTATTAAAAATCTCAGTATTAAAAACAGTATACGTAATATAAACTACAGATTAACAGTATTTATGAATTAACAGTAGAGTTACAATTGATTATCAAATAATTATTGATGTAAAAATCTCAAAAAAGAAGTCATGAATAATCAATATTCATAGAAGACCACATTATGGAATACTTGAACTAAAAATGCATTATAATAAATGCTGGCTATTGAGTATATTAGCGTCATGATGTAATGGCAAGCTATTGAGTAAATAATTCCATAAGTAATCATTAGGATTTGTTATATAATAGATAGAGATATTAAGGGAAACTACAATATATGTATATATTGACCATAATAGTGCTTTCTCCTCTACTATACTATGATTAACAAACAAATGACACTTAGAATTTAATTTCCGTATTAGAAGCGTAACTCTTCTTCCTACATTAATTAGTATTTAGCTAAAACACTAATATTTATACTTCACTATTTTCGCACAAAATTTTCAAATCATTATTATTAACAATTTGCTGGAGGACTTATTGGATTTTGTGTTTATGACTCGCAATGAGTTCTCATCCTAGAGAGTCTGCTGTATTATAATATATCGCGCTCAAACCTGCGTCAACAAAGTTAATTGTGCACCATTCTTATGTAAATCTTTATTTCTTTGTGCTGGATCCCTGTAATAATCGCTGCTCACTGTGATCTCGATGTTTGATCTTGATGTCATCGTCACTGTGGTAGTGGAGGTCTTGCTGAACAGTCCTCTGTCCGTCTCCTCATCGTCAAAATCCATTCTAGATGATCCAGCTGCTATCATTTGATCATGTTGTAATCTATCATCATTAATTTTCCTTCTTGGAAACACGCTATTTTCATTGTTCAGTGTCGCATTAATGTCCTTTCCAGCAGCACAATTACATGCCTTCAAAAAACTCTTTTTAAAATTGTCACTTAAAAAAGCGTACAGAATCGGGTTCATTGCGCTATTGCTATAACTCAGGAAACCAGCTAGCAGAAAACTTGCAATACTAATATTAGTTTGACATTGTTTTGGCGGGGTATATATCAAGGCCACTTGAGTGACCCAATAAGGTAACCAACAGAAGACATATACAACGATAACTGTTAAGACCAGTCTGGAGACCTTTCGATGTGATCGTTTCTTCTCTTTTGATTTGTTCTTTGGACCCACTGTTCGCAGCTTTTTTATTACCAGTAAGTAGAAAACCAGTATAAATATTAAAGGAATGATGAAGCTGAAGATAAGCATGTAAAATGTAAAAGTAGTATGACCACCGTGATCGTTAGGCCAATAAATGTTGCAACTGACAACGCCATTTGTGTATTCCATAGTATTTGCATAAAGAAATATCGGTATCATGAAGAGAGCGCTAGTGATCCAGGCAGAAATCGAAATTATTTTTGAGATGAAAGGCGTGCGCATCTTCGGGGATGAAATCGGGTGGCACACAGCGATGTAGCGATCAGCACTCATGATGAGTAAAAAGATGCTGCTGGTAAACTGATTGATACTAGTCGTGATCATATACACTTTGCACATAACATTACCGAAGATCCAGCCACGTAAACTAATCGTTGTTACTAAAAATGGTATACCGATTAGGAAGCACTCGTCCGCGATCGCTAAGTTCACAATGTACATATTTGTGACAGTCTGCATCTTCGCGAAGCGTAGAACAACATAAATGACCAAAGTATTCCCAAGAAGTCCAACGATACAAACGATGGAGTAGAGTATCTGATTAATTATAGCGATAAACGATAAATTAAGTTCACAGTTTAGGAATTCCGTATCATCGTATGTTAAGTTATCGTAAGTTAAATTGTATATGTTATCCATTATATAGAATCTGAAATATATACAAAAACATACAATTAGTAAAAATATGCCATACTGCGATAAGTTGCTTAAAAAATATTTAAAATTTGTTTTTTATAATATTATACTCCAAAAAAAATCATTTATATTAAAGATAAATATTATAAAAGATTATGCACAACAATTACTTTAAAACCTGCAAATTTTGTCAATATTTAAGGAAAAGTTTTAGATTTTAAAATGTATGTAATGAGATTTTCCGACCTGTATTTTCCGATCGTAAAAAGTTGCAAAGTCGTAAAATTTTCAGAATTTTAACACGATCTGTTTCTAGTCTTTGCGAAAAAAACCATTCGATCATGACTATCACGAGAAATACATATGACTCTTTTTATACTTATATAATTTGCAACTTTCTGTTTTAAATGACGATAAAGAGATACCAGTGTTTTAATTGCGTGCGGACATCACGCTAGAGATCGACAAAAAATCGCCAAGAAAAAAATGTTTTTATTGTAACAAATTCGGTCATTAAGCGACCAATTGTACAGCGTCTAAAAATCAGATCCGGAATCCGAAATCGTCAACAGTAAATTTGATAAAAAATAATCAAATGTGTGAATCACGATCCGCTTAAAGAAATTATTATAGACAACATTAAAATATTAGCTTTGATTGATTCTAATAGTCGTATTAGCTTGATTCATGAAGATTTAAGAAATTAGGAAAGGAGTTTGTAAGATATGCGCGAATGTTCACGAATTTTGGCAAGAGTAAATCCGAAACATTAGGATATTAATCAAACAATTGTGTATATTGATGATGAAGATTATTCTATGACATTGTATTGTTTGTATTGTTTCTTGCAATGCGATGGAAATAGACTTTGTTCTTGGTAGAGACATACTTGAGATGACTGTATTAAAGTTTTTGATAAAGATAATGCAATCATTACCGAAATTATTCCTACTACGTTTATAGCGCATATTGATTTATCAGAGAAAATTAGGATCGACCTTGAATTTATCTTGCACGCAGAGACGCGTAAGATGGTCCAGCGATTAGTTTCATCATACGAGTCTATAATAAATCAGCGGATATCAAATTAAGTTTGTCTCTGAAAGATAATAAGCCGATTTCACAGAGACCGCGTAGATTATCTATACCGGATAAAAAAATCGTAGAAGCGCAAATGGCGGAATGGCTAAAAGATGGCATTATTGAGCCATGTTCCTCTGAATATGCCAATCCAATAATAGATTTAAGTTTAGATTAGTAGAATTAAAAAAAAGTTTAATTAATTATTGTAAGGAGAAAAACATCAAACATATATTGACCGACACATGACGACGGGATTATCTAGAGCTAACGGACATGTTGAAAGACTTAATTGTAATATTATTTCGGTATTGACGAAACTATCTTTAAAAACTAAATGATATCAGTGTGTGCCTAAATTGCAAGAAATATTGAACTCTACATATCATAGAAGCATCGATATAACTCCTTTCGAATTATTAATGGTCGAAAAAGATGAGATCCAAGAAGATCTTTGCTTAAAAGTATCTGCGCCGAATATATGAAACCTTGGATAGTAAATTGCTATGTCGATAAGTATTTCATGTATTCTTTATTAACTCTTAATTTCTTTCACTGACACTGTGACGTTGCATTTATGTATAACGTGCAAGGGGATACAGCAACTGATGCCGCTCGGCATCAGTCTGTAAGCGACAAAGTTTCGACCGCGAACGTACTTGTAATCACGACTATCACGAGAAATACATGTGACTATTTTTATACTTATACAATTTGTAGCTATCTTAATTCTACATATATAAAGAAGCCACTTCGTTATCTCATTCGAATTAAATAATTTCATATTTAAAAGAGAAAGTGTAAGAATTAACACGAGTGTTGGTTAATAAAAAAAGAAAAAAAAATCTTAGATTTACATTACATCGTAAATTATTTTTATTTACAAAAAAAATTTACAAAAGTAACATTCTATTAAATTAAAAACTCAAATGGTATTAGCTTTGTTATTTACTAACTCTAATGATATACAGTGAGTGCAAAAAGTATTATTACAAAGAAAATATTTTATAAAAAAACTTTATTTTTAAAAAGTAAATATTATCCAGTGAGAAATGAGTCATCGAATTGATGTCAATATAATTATGATAATTTCAATATCAATTTAATGTCAATTCAAATTTAATCGATGATCATTTCTTGTTGGATAATTAATAATTTATTCATAAAGAATATAAAATATACTGTTTCTTAAAATTATATATACCAAAAAAATGTGTATTAATTATACAAAATATATCATCTGAAAAGTAAGCGAAAATTAAAAATGGTATTGTTTGAATGCTTAAAAAGTATTCATACAGATGAGAAATTTAGCTTATAAAATCAGGAATACATGCAAAGCTCGTTTTTAGAACAGAATATATAAAACTCATTATATAAAATTGCTAATTAATGTTTTTTTTCTACAAATAAAAGACTTTTTTTATAACAAATTTCCTTGTAGGAATACTTTTTGCTCTCATTGTATATCATTCATATAGAAAATTTTTTAACTGACGTTATTTTTACTTACCTTCAATGAGTTGGTCTAGCATAGCATAAATGTGAAAAGTCGTTTCGTCAGTTATGACCCAATCTCTCTGATAGTCATTTCCATCATCTTTGACTAATATTTTTATGACCATCTTCTTCGTTAGATGAACACCGAAAATGAAGATAAAACTTCTTATGATAAAAGAAAATGAACGCAAATTTAGAACAAAAAATAGAATTGAATAGAATTGAATAGAATTGAACTTTTTCCAAAGATTAGAAAAAAGAATATCTTTCAGGTCTTAAAGACTTTATCAGTAGAGAAAAAAAAAGAGAACATAAGAAAATAAAGTAATATTAAATGTTTAATAATTTAACAGAAAATTTTTAAAAATGTACAAAAATATATTGTGCTTAAATTCTAGCTTGAAAAAGAATATAATTATTTTTAAATTCAATAAATAGGAAATAGAAAATGGCCATGCTTCGATCATTATGGCTATTTTCTATTTGTTGAGTTTAAAAATAATTATATTCTTTTTTCTAAGATTGAATATTCTGCATACTTATTTTTAAAAATCTCTTATCATATTTGATTTATTTTAGTAAATTTTGGGCAATTACAATTTAAGACACACACACACACACACACACACACACACACACACACACACACATACATACACACACGTGCGCGCGCATAAACAATTTCGTTTAATGTTTAAAATTTAATAAAATTATATGTGTTTTATTTCAAGATTTAAAAAATGAAATAGTAGCTTAGAATAATCATTTTTTATTCTGTATTTTATTTTGAAATATTCGTAGTTGAAATTTTGTATAAACCAATCAGGCTGATTGCGCCGACGTGCACTGAAACTAATTTTAAGAACGCTAGGAAACTATATCGGCATTTGACACATAAAAAATAACCAGAAATTTCACAATAATGTGAAAAAGAATTCTGATTTATATTCATTCAGAATTCATTTTTGTTTATTTAATAACATTTTTGTATATTCTATCAAATATTCTAGTCAAGATAATCAGAGATTCAGTCTCAATAAGCAGAATTTCGATTTATAATCATTCAGAATTCATTTTGTCTATTTATTAAATTCTTTAATCATTTACTAATAACATTAAATATGAATTCTAGACGATAACTGTTATCTAGCAGCATGTTAATGTATAGTTCAATATTTTTGCTATAGGATGAGATAATAAAATGGAATGATTTACTATAGAGTTCATATTTAATGTTATTAATAAAAGATTAAAGAATTTATTTGTTAACAAATTAAATATCCATAAAAATACAAGATAAAGAACTTTTATTGAAAAAAAAAGGTTTTATGATGATCCCATATGTTAAAGAGATATCAGAAATATCAACATCTCTTATTAATAAATCTATAACAGTAGGATTCCGCTGAATAAACTGAGTAAATTTAAGAGTTCAAAAAGATAAAACCCAGTTAGTTCACAAAAGCAATATTATTTACAAAATTACTTGTAAAAATTGTGACGTCCCATACATTGGTCAGATTAAGAGACAATTACAAATTAGAATTGTTGTTTATTAATTTCACGCTGACCTCAAAATGCGTAATAGTTATTTACCATTCAAATTTCACCGTTTTAATTTTTAATTTATCAAAATAAGTTATTGATGATTGATATTTGTCAATTTTTATCATGTGATCTATTTTGACAATAAAAATGAGTGTGGAATATTAGCATGAAAAACATCTTAAGAGTACACACTCACTGCGTCGATTCGCGAATTGGCGAAATATGCACCGCGAACAGAGTACCATCAGGTACGTCAAACGTGCGAGTCGAATGCAATGCCTGTTTCATTATATATTCACCATGAAACTGCGTTTTTGTAGAACCACCGAAGTTAAGTTTTGATGTTAAAATCTCATCTCTCCATTACATACACGCTCGCACGAAAGCACTTTGGCTCCTTCTACTTCTTTACTGAAAGACATTCTTCTGCTACAGCTGAAGAAAATTCTGACGCAATTTCAATTATGGTCAATTATTCAAGATGATTAATTCACGACAACGTAATAAACATACAACTCGAATAATCAGTGAAAAGTGAGTAAAGCGACAATGTCAGCCTCGCGAAGTGATGCGGGAGCAAACTAAAATCGTCACACATACGCATGTGTTGGCGATTGCGCAGATCTGCATTTTCTGTTAATCAATAAAAACCTCAAATATGAAATAACACGCAAATTTAAAAGACATTCAAAAGAATGTCTTAAAATTTTCAGATATTTTTCAGACTTTCTGAAAATTATTTTTCTTTCGGAGCATGTACAGCTATTAACGTGTTATCGACTGTGTAACATAGTTATTATCGAGAATAATATACACATAAAAAAACGAGACATCTTCAAAATACCTTAAAGACATTTTTTAAGATCTCTTAAAGA